AGTCAAAACGCCTGAAGTCAAAACCCCTGAAGCCAAAACTGTGACTAACGTTTGCAACACTAGGTATGTTTGTACCCAAGTAGTTCAATCTGTATGGTTTCTAGATCACATGACTAGTCTGAAACCTCCATTACTCTCAGGTGGAAAACATGGAATCCAATTTGCGACGTCGAAACAAGAAAGGAATATCTCCCCCAACCGAAATGTCCATCACGCAAGCCATGCAAGCAACAATGCGCAAGTAAGTACACACAGTATGTGAGGAGGCTTTACGTTTTCTTTATGTGTGCGGAGGGTCGCGCATTTTCTCTTTGATCTTTGGGATTTCTTTTATTTCATCTGCGTTTTCTTAAGTTGTAAAGATACAGTAAATGGGCATTTAATTGTCTTTTTTTCTTACGTAACATGTGAAAGATATTCAGACCTCTCTCTTGGTGCAGTATTGATTTCTTAGTTGAGGTTGCGAAACGACAGACCTTTCACTATAATTAAACTTGTATGTCATTGCGGGATTATTTTTTCTTATTGAAGATGTTTAAGGTGTATTTGTGATCCTATCTATACTGTTTTATTAGTGCAGTGTGATATTTTAGGTATATGTTTACTATCTAGATCTACTAAACTAGTTACGATTTTCATAGAATTCTGAGTCATTGTGAATACGTGATTGACATTATTTATCAAATGTCGATGGTCTGTGAGCAAGCAAATTGTTATTTCAGTTTTATTCCTTAGGACAGGGTTCTTCAAAGTACGGTTGGTGACCTAGTTCTGGGTCGGAAACTCATGTTTAGTACTGATGATGATGATGATAATGATAGTGATAATGACGATAATGATAATGATAGTGATAATGACGATAATGATAATGATAATGATAATAATAATAATAGCAATCACAGTAATATATAAATATGAATATAAATATAAACATAAACATGTAAAAAAAATATATATATATATATCCATTTAGTTATGAATGTTTATATATATACATATACACACATATTCATACATATATACATATATACATTTACATGTATATATCTATCTATATATATATATATATATATATATATATATATATTTATATATATATAATTATATGTATGTATTTATATAGATATTTATAAACATGTTTATTCACACACACACACACACACACACACACACACACACACACACACACACACACACACACACACACACACACACACACACACACACACACACACACACACACACAGACACGCACACATTCACACACATACGCACACATACGCACACACACGCACACACACGCACACATACGCACACGCACACGCACACACACACGCACACACGCACACACGCACACACATGCACACACGCACACACGCAAACACGCATACACGCACACACACACACACACACACACACACACACACACACACACACACACACACACACACACACACACACACACACACACACACACACACACACATATATGTATATGTATATATATATGTATATATATATATATATATATATATATATATATATATATATATATATATATATATATATATGTGTATATATATGCATATTATGTATATATATATATGTGTGTGTGTGTTTGTATTATATATTATATTCATATATTTATATATTTATGTATTCATATATATTTATTTATATATAAATTGATATCGGGTTGAGAGAACGGTGGGATAGAATGGACTTCTTTGCTCGTGCTGAAGAAGGTTTGAAGAACCCTGCCCTAGAAAATTAATGTATCAAATTTTACATTCAGGTATAGATAGCGGAGGATAAACAAAGGTATTCTTGTAGCCAGCAAAATGATTAGCTTCTACAGTGAGATATTATTAGAACTGCTTCCATACCTTTATCCAATCTTTTTTACTCTCTATATATTCTATTACTAACATAATGATGCATGCTATAAACCAATAACCAAATCAATGCATGAGGCGTCAGCTCGCATTTAAACAAAAAGATCAACATAATTTTACCTATACCTCCGAAAACACGAAGAAGCTGAAAGATGCGAACACATCCTTAATCCCCCTTACCGTTATCGCATCCAGATACGCCTTAGAGAGACGGTTGTTCCAGCAACTCCTGGAACTGAAGAGAGTCCAGATCAAAAACACACGAGCCAACGAGCAGGTGCTGATCAAGCGGATGGTGGACGCGTATATGAAGGAGGGCGTCCAGTTGGGCATCAGAGGCTATAACGGGCCCTATAACTTCCAGAGTTACGAAAAATATCTCTACGGTGAGTTGGTTCGTTTTTTTTTCGATTACTTCGTGTCGTTTTGTTTTTTATGGCATGGCTATGGCGTAGGATCTCTTTCTCCGTCTGTCTGGTCTGATCTTATTCGTCTGTCTCTCTGTCTCTGTCTCTCTCTTTCTTTCTCTCTGTCTGTCTGTCTGTCTGTCTGTCTGTCTGTCTGTCTGTCTCTCTCTCTCTCTCTCTCTCTCTCTCTCTCTCTCTCTCTCTCTCTCTCTCTCTCTCTCTCTCTCTCTCTCTCTCTCTCTCTCTCCATCCTCTCTCTCTCTCTCTCTCCATCCTCTCTCTCTCTCTCTCTCCATCCTCTCTCTCTCTCTCTCCATCCTCTCTCTCTCTCTCTCCATCCTCTCTCTCTCTCTCTCTCCATCCTCTCTCTCTCTCTCTCTCTCCATCCTCTCTCTCTCTCTCTCCATCCTCTCTCTCTCTCTCTCCATCCTCTCTCTCTCTCTCTCTCTCTCTCTCTCTCTCTCTCTCTCTCTCTCTCTCTCTCTCTCTCTCTCTCTCTCTCTCTCTCCATCCTCTCTCTCTCTCTCTCTCTCTCTCTCTCTCTCTCTCTCTCTCTCTCTCTCTCTCTCTCTCTCTCTCTCTCTCTCTCTCTCTCTCTCCATCCTCTCTCTCTCTCTCTCTCTCTCTCTCTCTCTCTCTCTCTCTCTCTCTCTCTCTCTCTCTCTCTCTCTCTCTCTCTCTCTCTCAAGCCTTCTCTTTCCATTTCTCTTTCTGTGTGTGTGCGCGCGCGCGCGTGTGTGTGTGTGTGTGTTTTCTTTTTGTTTCACTTTATTTGATACATAATGCTGTGTACGCATCTATGTGGTTGTATGATTCAGATTTCAAATACCGGGTACGGTACAAAATTTGCCCATTTGGTTTGCTCGCCCAAAGAGGCACAAGGAGAACGGACCGTACGTGTGTTTGATGTAAGGGAATTTTCATAATGTTCGACTGATTTTATTTTTCAAAAGTATTTACGTCCCTGTACTTATAAATGAAAAAAAAAACTACGCACAGAAACAAACGCCAGCAAAGTCATGACCCATTCGGAAGCACAGCCTGCCCCCCAAACGCAGCCTGAAGCAAGCCTCTTCCCCCGACAGACCAGCTCCGATACCTCCAGAGTTCCCAGAGCAACAAGATTCCGGCCTTCAAGCCCTCCGACGACGTGGAGCGCCTCAGTCGAGCTCTTCGGCGCCAGGAGATCCTGGAGCTTCCTGACCCTCTCATGACCCCACGTGATCCTCACACTTGTAACCACACTACGCATCGCTGTCACCATGCAGCACACGCCTACACGGGCGTGCCCTGCGCTGCTTATTGTAAGTACTATCGGAGGCTGTTAAATTCCGGACACATAAGCATGTTGCATCAATATTTTCCTTCCTTTCTACCTCACGCATAACAACGTGTTACGCTTCGCCAGTGGGCCATCGAGGGAAGAAGAAGAATCAGCTCTCTCTCCCGAAGATCGCCGGCAGCACCAACGCCAACGGGAGCAGCTCCTCCCTGGGGGCGTCTCCAGGACCTGCCTCAGGCGGGAGCCTAGGTCGCAATCGCCCGGGGGAACCCATTGGTCTGCGGAACTATGACCCCAAGAGACCCCTCACTGTTGAACTGCAGGTGAATAAAATTATTTGATTTTTTGTCGAATGCTACATGAAAGTAATGGGTTAAATGAAGAAAAGAAATTCTTGGTTTTCGATCAATAGAGAAACGCACATCCGCTTAAAGAATGATATTTAGATTTTCTCCTGACAATAGGGATACGTTTGCCTACCCGTGAAATTATACAGCTATGCTCATACGCCGGCCACGAGATGAAATCCGATAAGTTCATTAATTCGAAATTTTGAAGTAGGTGCTTTCCGAAAGAGGAAGTAATGTTAAAGAATATGTGAACGAAGAAAACGCCAGCTGGATGGTTTTATAACTGATCATATTCTTTGATATCTTAAACATGCGTCGCGACTTGTAGACCGAAGTAGATTTAGATATGGTTGTACAGAGTGCCGATTCAGGATTCACTAACAACATATAATTGAGCTTCTTAGAGGAAAAATCCATGGCCGTATTGTATCAGTAGTTAACAAGGATTTTTCCACCCATATCAGTATCACGTACATCGTTCAGTTCTCTACCATGATGAAAAATATCCTTAGTTGATGAGCACATTTCTGATTGAAGGAAATAAGGCAGGGTAGTATAGGTTTGATATAAATGCAATAATAAGTTTGGAAAGCCACTTCTATCAGTTGTGTATAACAGCATGCAGTCTGAGTAGTCTGAGTAATATGGCTGACACCGCTGCTGTGACTGAAGAGTCTCGCACCCAAGAACTTCTTACTTCCCAGTATTGTAGCTCTTAGTCGAGCCAAATTCCGTACGTCCTGTAGGGTTTTTTAATGATTTTCATAAATGATTAAAGAACCATTCAGCTGCCGCATGGTCATATCTTGGCCTGTCATATCAGAAAATATATCCACAGTTTCCTTTTCATATATATCGATGTTGCATGGAAAATATTTTGCATGATTCCTGTCATGTATTTCAGGAGTTTCAGGAACTGTAGAGTAAAAAAATATATAGCCCTTTCTTGAGAGACAAGTTACGGGACTTTCCATTCTCCGATTTCGTTGTAGATTCCATCTGAAGTAGAATTTCGTGATCGAAAAGGTCATGTTTAGTATTTAGTTCAGAGTATTAATGTTATTTCGAGATTCCCCAGATTATACGTATGATCACACTTTTTACATGGTTTCAGAGAGCGCGATGAATGAATACAAAATAACATTTGATCTGATTACATCTTTAATGAGAAATCAAACCTATGATAAATAGCCCAATTTGATAATTAATCTGCTGCCACATGTAAATAGCACAACCTTAATATTTTAATTAACAATCTACAGCTTAACTAAACTGTAAATAAAATACTCTATTGCATAATAGGAAAAATGCCAGTGTTCATTCTCGTTCGGAAACAGCAACGAGCACAACTCACGGCTCATGAACCCACCACACTAGATGGTAATTCCGATCGTGCTAAATGATACGCTTCTGCCTCTGTGAATTATTTTTTTAATTGTCTTTACTGCACTTAGGTAAAAAATCACTTTCAGTGGTAGAATTTTTATCACGGTATTTTGATTTCCCCCCTTTTTAAGGTTTGAGAAGCTCGACTGGTGCTGGCGGGATTTTAGAGAACTAGGCTTGTTTTCCCGACGAGATTCCTGACCTCTCTTTCCTTCCCGTTAATCCAAGATCATCATTCCCTTTCTAATCCTCTCCTCTACCCATTTCCTTTCCAATCCTCTTCTCCGACCATTCCCTTCCCAGTCGTCAATCCAGTTACTATTTTCGGTGCACACACTGCCTAGTCCTCACACTAAAATCCTGACGACCTCTTTCATCCTGGAGCTAATCATAACCAGGACCCTAACCGAATCCCCCAATCTTCAGGTTAGAAAACGGATAACCTCCCTAATCCTCTCCTCAACCCAGGACCTTTAATGCACTTCCCTAGACGATGTTTTACATTATACCTAGCCTCTCCAGTAAGTGGCCGTTATACAGAGAAAATGTGGAACGCTAGATTCTGACACACATTATTATATCCAAAATCATTACATTTTTGTTTATATTAGAAATTGAATTCCCTTGTTTGACAATCACTTTTTGTCACCTCACTGGTGTGTTTCTCACGGTGTGTTCTTAAGCCATCACTTACACTATTTCTATATGTTTAAGAACTTTCAATTTTTTATTGGTGTTTCCTCTCCCTTGCTCACACGTTTGATTTATGTATAATATCTATTATATTTCTATATTTAAAAAAAGGAAAATGAGTAAGCTCTATCTTCACAAGTTACGTTAGTTGTGTGTGGAAAGAAAAAAAATGGTTACGAATTACTCACTGTAGCTCTTTGGAAACATCTACTTACACTCAGGTACTTTTGATCAGTATTATGTCTTCTTCACATCCTGCACTTTTCGCCTGAATTACCTCGTTTTGTTTCCTTGCATTTAATTCTGTGATTTTTAACCCCCCCTCGATGTCGTCAAATTAGAGCACTTAATTTCATTTCCACATTATGTCCTTTGTTACTCTTCTGTCTTTTATACAATTACACCTTTACTTATTAGTCCATCAAACAATTCTCTTGTTATCAAATAGCATTTCATTGTAATTTAACATTTTCCGTGTCCACATCACCGCCTCACCTTCCTGCCAAGAGTTTCGTTTAAGCAATGAACACGTGAAGTACTCAACCTAAAATAGTTGATGAGAAGAGGAAGAGGAAGAGGATGAGGATGAGGAAGAAGAAGAAGAAGAAGAAGAAGAAGAAGGAGAAGGAGAAGGAGAAGAAGAAGAAGAAGAAGAAGAAGAAGGAGAAGGAGAAGGAGAAGGAGAAGAAGGAGAAGGAGAAGGAGAAGGAGAAGGAGAAGGAGAAGGAGAAGAAGGAGAAGAAGGAGAAGAAGGAGAAGAAGAAGAAGAAGAAGAAGAAGAAGAAGGAGAAGGAGAAGAAGGAGAAGAAGGAGAAGAAGAAGAAGAAGAAGAAGGAGAAGAAGAAGAAGAAGAAGAAGAAATTGAGAAAATAAAAATAAAAGGCAAAAAAGGGAAAGGAAAAGGCAAAAAACGAAAAGGAAAAAGAGAAGAAGAATAATGAGAATGAGGAGATGAAGGAGAAGGAGAAGAAGGAAGAAAAGGAAACAGAATGAAAAGGCAAAAAAAGGAAAAGGAGAAAGAGAAGAAGAAGAATGAAAATGAGAATGAGAAGGGGGTGAGGGAGACGGAGAAGGAGGGTGAGAGGGAGGAGAAGGGGGAGGAAAAGGAGGAGAAGAAAAATGAGTTGAGAAGAAGGAGAAAGAGAAAGAGAAAGAGAAGGGGAAGGGGAAGGGGAAGGAGAAGGAGAAGGAGAAAGAGAAAGAGAAGGGGAAGGAGAAGGAGAAGGAGAAGGAGAAAGAGAAAGAGAAAGAGAAGGGGAAGGAGAAGGAGAAGGAGAAGGAGAAGGAGAAAGAGAAAGAGAAGGGGAAGAGAGAAGGTGAAGAAAGAGAAGGAGAAGGAGAAAGAGAAAGAGAAGGGGAAGGAGAAGGAGAAGGAGAAGGAGAAGGAGAAAGAGAAAGAGAAGGGGAAGGAGAAGGAGAAGGAGAAGGAGAAAGAGAAAGAGAAAGAGAAGGGGAAGGAGAAGGAAAAGGAGAAGGAGAAGGAGAAAGAGAAAGAGAAAGAGAAGGGGAAGGAAAAGGAGAAAGAGAAGGAGAAGGAGAAAGAGAAAGAGAAGGGGAAAGGGAAGGGAAGGAGAAGGAGAAGGAGGAGGAGAAAGAGAAGGGGAAGGGGAAGGGGAAGGAGAAGGAGGAGAAGGAGAAGGAGAAAGAGAAGGGGGAGAAAGAGAAAGAGGAGAAGGAGAAGGAGAAAAAGGAGAAGAAAGAGAAAAGTAAAAGAAAGAGAAAAAGAGAGGGAGGAGAAGGAGAAAAAAAAGGGGTGGGAAAAGAAGGAGAAGAAAGAGAAAAGTAAAAAAAAAAAAAGAAAAAAAAGAAAAGGGGAATAATAATAAAAAGAAGAAAGGAAGAAGAAAAAGAAAAGAAGAGAAAGGGAAGAAAAGGAGAAGAAGAAGAAGCAGAAGAAGAAGAGAAAGGGAAGAGGGAGAAAAAGAGAAGAAGAGGGAAAGAGAAGATGAAAAGAAAAGAAAAAGATCGTTCGAGTATCCATTCCTAGCCTAAGCTCAGTCTCTATCTCTCGGACATGTCACTTGCCACTTTGCCATTCTTTTCTCCTTCAAGCCCTTGCAGCCTCCATGGTCACACGTTTTCTTTTCTTCTTACGTACACATTTTCTTTCGTATAGATCTTCAGGTCATTTTTTCATATTAATATACATCTATAGCATCACACCTCCCTTCGCTGTAAACACTTATCACCCCGATAATACACATATAGTTAGTGTAGCTAACTTTCAAATCTCAACGCCACCTTAACATAAGATCTGTGTAGCATACCTTAACATCACAGATAACCCCCTCGCTAAAACAACAGTCCGAAAGCCCCCGCATCAGCCCAGTTCCCCGTCACTATAACACTATACTTCCCTGGACAGCACGGTAACACGAGGCAGCAGATCACTCTCCCTACAGAGATCCTCGACAAGAATAAGAAGTACCATCTAACCTTCACCATTAAGGTTTGTATGCGCATAACCTTTCGCATGTGATTATAACAACATCCCTGTGCATTAGTGGAGTGCGGAGAACATTGCTTGTGATATGGCATGATTGTGCATGGGCTCAAACACCTGCCTGGAACAGCTCTTCTCTTCCACTGCCTCTCGCTAACCCCGTTGTTCCCTTAGCCGTCCGCGCCAGGCCAGGAGGGGCTGTCTCCATCGAAGGACGAGTCGGCGTCTCCCAAGCGCTCAGCCTCGGCGCCGGAGGGCATTGTGCCGGACGAGGCGGTGCAGGCAGAGCCACGGCCAGAACTCCGCTCAGCACCGGCAGAGGGCAGGACCGAGGCCAGTGTCAATGATTAAAATACTGGAACTTTAAGGGGGAAAAAAATGGATGAGCCAGTCAGCATGTAGACGTTCGTTTGGGGTCTACTGTAAGATGGCTTGTATGTTCTGAGATATGGCAGTCCAAACTCACATTCCTCGGCTTAGTGTAGGACAATGATGAGATATTCTTGGGCTGTTTAGCATCACGTGGTATCTTGCCAGAGGTAGGCTCCTTACTTGTGCGTGTCCACCGCAGGACATTACCAAGTGCCTGAGCCATTGTGATAGACTCCTTGGGGAACAGTTGTATATTTTTCAAAGCAGACGTACATGGGCATTTGATTCTGAAAGATGTACATGATATTACACCGAGAGATGGGAACAACTATTAATCTATCATATTTTTCTTCAGATTTAACTGTTTACAATGTGATATCCATGCTGTACAGTATTTCCATGTAAACATTGATGTCATGAACTTCATTCAATATTAGTATTCGGTGTAATTTTACCACGTTTTTAGTTAATCAGGTATGCGAGTCATATTTTGTAGATAATCAAGTTATATCAAATTAATCAGTTGAACTTTAATATGCTGCTAATTTGGTTGGAGAACCCTTCCCATTTCTTTTTACTCAAAGAAATTGAAACCCTCTTTCTGGGTTGCCTTTGAGTATTTTCAGTTTTACGCGAGTTTTGCACTAAATTCAAAATGATAGAAGGACGCACAACAACCATGTCCCTGTACGTCAATGTCGATGTTTATATGAATGCCTCATGTGCTATTATGTAAACATATCTATATAAAAAAACACTACTTATCAGTTCTTTCCTTAACCTCCTGAAAGGTGTGATTGTATAAAATAAAACATGTGTTTGTTTTCTGTCATCATGCATTTATGTATAAATTTCTATCCTAAAAAGAACATAATATTAGGTTGCACATGCATAGTATCGAAGGGAGTCTCCCGTAAATGTACAGAACAGGAAAATAAGGTAATAAGATACACAGAGAAGTAGAAGGATATGTAGAAAAAAATCTTCAGTACAAACCGTGATTTAAAAACAAACAAAGAGAGGATAATCTTCTTGAACCAGAAGTGGTGAATGTGACACAGGCTTGGGTATATCGTTAGATAAACATGGGGGAGGGGGGGAGGGGGGGGGAGAGGGAGAGAGGGAGAGAGGGAGAGAGGGAGAGAGGGAGAGAGAGAAGAGAGAAAGAGAGAAAGAGAGAAAGAGAGAAAGAGAGAAAGAGAGAAAGAGAGAAAGAGAGAAAGAGAGAGAGAGAGAGAGAGAGAGTGAGAGAGAGAGAGAGAGAGAGAGAGAGAGAGAGAGAGAGAGAGAGAGAGAGAGAGAGAGAGAGAGAGAGAGAGAGAGAGAGAGAGAGGGGGGGGGAACTCTTATCTTCAATTCTTGCTTTCAAGGAGCAATGTCCTTGATTATCTACCCCCTTTTTGATATATGATGTCTGACAGTACTACCAAGGATGTCATTAATTTAAGCTATCAAGTGCAAAAACCACACTTCACTTATTTTTCTTGTACGTCATAATCCTTTACCATTGAGCTTGGAACTTGTCTCATGTCATCTACAGGACAAAATTTGGTTAACGCAATGCCGACGAGCATGGCATGTACGTACATGATACCCACTGTGAGTTTACTTGTTCAATTATTTTTACACATAGATGGCTTCACTTGTACTGTCACCAATGAGCCAATTATGGGCACTGCCTGTCTTGCCCATTTACCCTTTTCCTTGATTTACGAAAATACTTTACTTTATCTTACTTTGCTGTTACAAATGTTTATAACATTATAGTAATTATAATGTTTATAATAGAAATAACACCATCGATATTCATAGCACTAGTATCAAACACATTTTTCCAGCCAATTCAAGGAAAAATGAAGTCGGTTAAGGTCACAAGGTCTACTGACAGAGCCATCTACGTCCACAGAGATTTCACAAAAATATAAAAAATGAGCATAGCATTTCCCAATTTTTTATTCATTTTCCCTGGTGGCATTGGGTTAAAAGAGAAAAGGAAACTAAGCTGTGATATCTCCATTTTTAAAAATATGTTTCACTTTGTTTTTCTTTTTCTTTACTCTTGGTAACAACTAATGGACCAGTTAGCAAAAAAATCCATTATGTGAAAATAGAAGGGTAAATGTTAGATATGCTATTTCCTAAAAACTGAAAATTTATCAAACAAAACAAAAACACTATGTCCCTTTATGGTATGGCACCATTCTTTTCACACTTTTGACATTCATGCCATATTTACCTCATAAAAGAGTTCCATTTAGGTGTCATAAAGAAAACACTTTGATATGTGATATTTAGATTGAACATTTATAATACCACATGGTGGAGACAAATTACAAAAACAGAAAAAAAAAGTAAAAAAGAAAATTTATATACTTACTTGGGGAAGCTGTTTGGTATTTGGCACATTACATATCATTAGTTTTGTATATCATACATGTTACATATTTACCAAGAAATGGTTCTGTACACATACATGTACTTTGTGCAAAGTTTTAAGATATCTAACCAGCTCTCAGAGTGTCACAAATCTGGATATTTATTTGTGTAATACTGTACTGAAATTATGACAATGTAACTTCTATTACTACTTTTCTGCTTTATACCATATATTTTTATCAAGAAACATATAGATCTGGTATTAACAAAATTAACTTAAAGATAAACATAATCTAACTAACTTGAGCTGAAATAAAAGTAACATCTGAAGAACTTCAAAGCATGGAATGAAAAAAACATCAGAGAAACTACAAAACCATATCTTGACTAACAAATGGAAGCCTTAATTAGATAAGCCACCTAGCCGAGATATTCATTATTTCAAAAGTCTCAGATTATATTGAATATATCTGTCTGAAAAAAAAAGAAGAAAAAAAAAAACTGGCACATTTGCATGTCTGTGCAGTAGATAAACTTAATATCATTCTCCTATATTACAAGGGTAAATTACAGAAATAATTTTGCACATTCACACATACATAATTAATCTACCTGACTAGCCAGAACATTCACTTTTCAAATCCTGATCTAAGGAAAAAAGTATTGCTGTCACACCAACACAGTAACAATATTAATAATGTATAGATAAAAAATAAACATGACTGGGAAATCAGAAAGTTACATAAATACCAGCTTTCATAACTTTTGACATACATCTTATCCACAATGAATTACTTTGGTACTACATACTATAACATGTACCCATAATAGTCCTAAATGAATACAATAGTCTGCCCATATTATTTACTTGACAAATAATTCTAATAATGATTTACTTAAAGGCTATCATACAAAATTTTATCTGGAGTATTTTCTACACATATCTTACACAAACACTACAACTATAGAGAGCTTGTAAGTTGGTGATTTTCTGTCACTGTCTGCTAATTTTACAGCAAAACAGAAGTTGTTCTGAAATTAGTTTTGTAAGAACATCAACAATAAGATATCACTATTGACAAAAAGATGAAGGTTAGATTGTCCTTTTACAATGCTGCCATCTCCAAAATGGAATGGTTATAAGCATGAACTGATTATATTCTTGCAGTGACAGTAAATGCTTAATGAATCTAAATATAACAACTTGGAAAGTAATATTCTTTTTAACAAAAAGCATAACAAGTACATTAGCTGCATCTCTGGATGGATTCTGTATAGCTCTCTAACATTGAGTATATCAAACATGTTTATTTGTAAATATGTGTGTGTGCGTGTTGTGTGTGCGTGTTGTGTGTGCGCGCGCGCGTGTGTGTGTTGTGTGTGCATGGGTGTGTGTGCGTGTTGTGTGTGCATGCGTGTGTGTGTGAGTGTGTTGTGTGTGCATGCGTGTGTGTGAGTTTTTATGCTTGTGTGCATGCATGTGTTCTGTGTGTGTATGTGTGTGTAAACACACATATAACTTAATTTAACCCAAAGAGATTGCAATAAAATTATGAGTAATGAACAATATAATTTAAAGGAAATATAAAATATTAACAAATATGAAGATGAAAGATTACTGTGCAGCAAATATCATAAAATAAATTGAGAGAAGAAAAGAGAAGAGAAGAGAAGAGAAGAGAAGCGAAGATAAGAAAAGAAAAGAAAAGAAAAGAAAAGAAAAGGAGAAGAGAAGAAGAGAAAAGGAAAAAGGAAGAAAGAGAGAAAGATAGAAAGAAAGAGAAAGAAAAAAAAAGAGAGAAAGAAAGAGAAAGAAAAAAAAGAGAGAAAGAAAGAAAGAGAGAAAAAGAAAGCAAGAAAGAGAAAAAGAAAGAAAGAAGGAGAAAAAGAAAGAAAGAAGGAGAAAAAGAAAGAAAGAAAGAGAAAAAGAAAGAAAGAAGGAGAAAAAGAAAGAAAGAGAGAAAGAGAGAGACAAACAACCAAAACCAAGAGTTGGAATCAAGAATGTATCAGAACTTCCTCTCCTAAACCTTTATCAATGTCATCACAGTCTTCCTCATGCAACAGGCTGTCATGAACATTTCAGTAACTTTAGTCCAGCCACCTAGGAACACAAACTGAAAAAAGGGCTAACTATAAAAGAAAAATACTTCAAAGTCAGAAGTCTTACTTTTATAGTTAAAAAAAAATAGAAACACTTTACCTAATCTATACAAAATTACAACAAGAACCATAAAAGAAAAGCAAAAAACACAGACTTTAACAGATAAAGTTTAAGAATGGTAGCTGCTACTAATAACATATATATCTCTTATAAGTATATAACTAATTTTCAATATCTTTCTTCTTAATATTACCTAATATCAAAGCTTTGAGACATAAAACAGTGTACAATGGTTCCCTAGAAACAGGATCATGAAATGGGAATTTCATAAAACCCCTTCACAACTGTCTACAATTCAAGTTAAAACTATCTAAGATACTCTTTTACCTTGGCACATAATTGACACATACGAACTGTTATCTGGAAGCAACATCTATAAAAATAATTGTGGAGAATATTGCAAACATGTAGACATCATTTTGATTACACAAGATGAACTTAAAAACACAGTGATTATTATTCTTATGTTTAATCCATTCAGTTCTATCACTGCGACCATGTAATAATGGGAGATAGTATTTACCATTTGCACTTTTAGTATGAACAGATATTGCACGTCCCTTATTTCAATGTATCTGCTATTTTCATAAATATTTTTGAATATGTAATGTAAGCTTACAGTTCAAATTAGCATTTAATCAATTTCAATATGGCAGTCTTGAGCCTTGAACTGCAATTTTCAACTACTTTAGGACTATCACATTATTTCAAATATAAGCATTAGTTGATATAGAAGTGTGCATGCATTTGGCACATGTTTACTTGTACAGATATAATTGCACAAGATGATTTTAGACAACACAAATTGTAAAATAAAGAAAAAGAAAAAGAAGGAAAAAAGGAGGGGGGCAAACACACTTTAAAAATCAGATTTAGAAAACATGAAAAAGTTTTACAAGCTTGAAGATACAGTGATTCTTGTTTGGCAAATGAGCCAATCAGGTACCAGTTGTCTTTTGTGATACACAAAACTGCCATTCTGTTACCACTAGTTCTTTCCATTCATCATTTTCCAGTGCAAGAATAACAATAATAATAATGATAAGACATCAATGACTGACAACTGTCTTAAATACTAACAATAATATAATAAAATTTCTACAAACTAATATGCCTACATATATCTCAGAACTTACTTGTTCTTTTTTTCTTTATATCTCTTGTATTTACTGTATTTTTCTCACAATAATATCTGTTAATATCAACAAATCATAAAAAAATGTAATTTGTAATAAAACAACAAACAGACACAAACCCTAAAACAACTCCAAAGTGAAGGCATCCAAAACCTGTGACCTTTCAAATGAAACTAGATGTCACTCATACCATTTATGTATTGATGCTTGGAGACAAACTCAGTTTTACTTGAAACTTAACAGATTTAGTGTTTCTCTTCTCCTTGTAGTTGTGTTTCATCCATCAATATCCTGAGAAGAGGTAAAAACGCAATTCTGTGTTTGTGCAATAAAAAGAAAAATATCTTTGTCTATAGTAAATGAGCAGTGAGGCAAGTTTTGACATTGCCTAATTTTATCAGTTTAGTTCAGTTCATTGCAAAATTGTCATAATATCCATACTGATGCTTTAAAATAATTTTATTTTTCCTACCTTTTAAATTTCTTTAGATTTTAA